CTTGTTTATAGCAAGAAAAATTTCTATATCCTTATCATTCTTTGTGGATTTCTACAAACATTTCTTTGTCAGTTATGGCTATAGTCATTTCCTCCAATGAGTAAAAGATGTGCTGTTCTGCTGCCCCCTTTGTGAGTGTGTGTTTAAATATTTTTTTTTCTAAATACTCCTGGTAGCCTTGCTTATATAAATGTGCTCAGCATCTTATTTTACTGAGCCTTCCACTTAGGACAGCTGTCTTCTTTCTGACAAACCAAGACCACTCTGGCCTTCAAAACCCTGCTTAAAATTCATCTGTGCAGAATGCTTAATCCATTAACAAAGATTTGGTAAGTCCTGGCTTGAGGTAGGTCCTGTGGGGGCTAGAACAGGGTCCTGTCCTTCAAGGAGAATTGGAGGTAAGCTGGGGAAATGAGACACTTGCACAGAATGGGGATGAATTAGCAATCACGAGTGGTATGCTATGAGCCGCAGATGAGCAGTAATGGCAGGATGTCCTGGTGGAGAGCACTGTAGACAGGCTGGCTATGTCAGAGGTGGAGCATGAGCTAGGTCTTAGATAAGGCCCAAGGAGATATAAATGTTGGCTATTTTCATGTGATTATCACATGTGGTATACATGAGTTGAATTATCACAACCTAGCTCATAAATATAAATAATTCAAAGTAATTAACAAAGGCTGAGAAAAATAGCTCTGAGAATAAAGTCCTTGTGATGCAGGCATGAGGACTAGAGTTCAAATCTCCCAAACTTGTAAAAGGATGCCCAGTTCTGGTGGCTTTTTGTAATCCCAGCATTTGGAAAGCAGACACCCCAGGGCAAGCTGGATAGCCAGAGTAGCAGGAATTGGAGAACTCTTGTCTCATTGAGAGATCTTGCCATAATAAGTAGAATGGAGAGTGATTTAGGAAGTCACCTGACATGGGTTTCCATATACACACATAGGAACACATTTGCTCATGCATGCACTCAGACAACCTGCTCATGCATGCACCCCCCCCCCCCCCCCCCCACAACACACCCCCCACCCCCCCCCCCCCACCCACCACATACACAAGACAAATAAATGCTCCCCCCACATGCTCAAAAAGAAAATAAGTAGTATAGATTTGAAAAAAGGAGAATGCACTGCTTTCCAAATAGATAGAGGAAGGAGACAAAGAGGAAAGGAAATGGAAAGGCAATGGGATTAATGTTACTATAAGGCAAAGAAGCAGCAATGTAGACATTTGCTCCTGAACAGTGAAGAGTCCCAGAGGCAGCAGTTGCAGAGGCCTAGTGGCAACACAGATGAAAAATGAGCTCAAATAAAGGGCTTGGGTATCAGGCCAAGGAGCCCGACCACTATTGGTTCATCAATGGGAAATCATTAGGGATAACTATACAGGAAGATAACCCGATATGACCTATATTTGAGTACATTCACCTAATGATAGTATGCATGGTGGCCTTGGAGTTGCAGGTAAAAGATGGTGTCAACAGCAGGCAAGCTAGAGGGAGAAGACATCGTGACTTTCAGCTGGACTATCACTCTACCCTTCCAGGACTCCAATAGTGCACATGCCTATCTCTATGAAGCTGCATTTGTGATCTGATAGTAGGTGGGAGGTAATTTTGAGGACAGAGCATGAATGTTTGATCCAGTCAGACCTAGATGTAAATTCACACTGTACCACTTAATCTCTGTGGATTTGTACCAATGATTTTATTCCTCTGAACCCCAGTTTTCTCATAGGTGAAATAGCCGTAATAGAAATTCACAAGGAAGTTAATGAGAAAGGCTGTCACATAGGAGATAAATGTTAAGCCAACATTCCTCACCTTCTTCGTTCCAATTATCTGTGTGGCCTTGAGCACCCTTTTCTCTGGAGGAGGTGCCATGTACAAGAAGACAGTTATTTCTTCCAGAATCACTGTATTGGAAAATCCTTGGTTGTCTAGCAAAATGCTTGACTATGCCTTTCTCATTCCTCTTACTCCCATAAGAGAGTTTATTCACCTAATCAACAAACATTTATTTAAAGCCTATTGTATGGCATGTATTGTCTTATATGTAAAGCAATGAACAAAACTAGACACAAATCTCTGTCATTATAGAACTGATTATTTTTATTTGTGGCTACAGAGAAATCTCTCTATCAATAAATATTCAATATGTCAAATGGTAAAAGTGGACACAGGAAATGGTAGGAAGTTGGTCAAGATTAAACTTCGTATTAGGTGACACCCCAGAAGAGACCTGAAATAATGAAGATGCAATTAGGCTATGTGGGACAATAGCCTTCCAGAAAGAAGGAGTCCAGGTGGAGTGATTCTTAAGTGGTAACATGCTTCGGGAGTTTAAAGAACAGTATGGGGCCTAAGGTGTTTGAAACAGGGTGGGTGTGGTGCTTTAGAAGAGATATGTCCCTCATAGACTCACACATTTGAACACTTGGTCCCTGGCTAGAGGCACTGTTTATAGAGGTTGTGGTATGCCACACTGGGGACAGGTTTTGAGAGTTTATAGCTTTGCTCCACGTGTAGTTTTCTCTCTCTGCTTTGTATTTGTTACTGAAGATGTGATCTTCCACTTTTCTGCTCCACTCACCTGCTGCCTTGCCTCCCCTGCCATTATGGGTACTCCTTCTGGAACTATAAGCACAATTAAACCCTTCCTTCTATAAGTTGCCTTAGTAGTGGTGTTTTATCACAACGATAAAAGTAACTAATGCAATAAGCAAGGAGAACACTATTGGGATAGGATCCCAGAAATATGTTCAGTATTCAGACAAAGTAGATTGAGGTAAGCACTCAGAGCAAACCAGAGAACCCTGGGAGGATTTGACATAGAGGAGGGACTGACTTAGTCACTTGAACAGAATGTCTCTATAAGGGGCTATGTTGTAGAGTGGGAAGAACAAAAGCATTTAGATTTGCTAGAAGGCTACAGCAATCCAAGGGTCATCCAGGTGACAAAGCAGTAAGAGCACAAACTAGTGTGATGTTAGAGAGGGTAAGAAATAATGAGGGTCTGGATATATTTTAAAGACATCAATGACACCATTCACTAACAGATAGGGCCTGAGGCATTCAAGAATGATCTCAAAGGGTTTTTTGCTGTTGTTTTGTTTTGATTCTTCCCCCTGAGAAATGGAAGGTTAGAGTTGACATTTGCTGAGCTACAGACTACCAAAGGATAACAAATTTTGAGAGAGAAAGCCATGTTTTGACTAGGTTAAGTTTGAGGTGTCCATTACACATTTCAGTGAAAATGGATACAAAGATGTTGGATATTTACATCAAATAGTCAAGGGAGGGTGGTGAATACAAATAGGTTCTATTTCAAAATTTAACGTATTTAATACATAAAAGGGGACTGGCATTTGATAAGTGTAAAATATACAACTTTTCTGTTTTTCCACTATGTTCTTGAGAACTGCTGTATGTGGTTACTCTGGTTCCCTTGGTGTAAAAGTCACACACACGTAACATGTGTGTGTGTGTGTGTGTGTGTGTGTGTGTGTGTGTGTGTGTGCGCGCGCATGTTCTGTTTGTAGTTTCAGAAACTTAAATTGACAAATAAATTCTGAAGGATGTCAAGCCCTTACTATGCAACTTTAGAACAATTACAGTGAGGGATTTCCACTGAACTGTTCTTTTCTGCAGAAAGATATGGCTTCAAAAAGGAACTCATTTGTCACAAATCACTTCCCTGGTAATCTTGTCAACTGTGGCTGGCCAAACAGTTATCCTTGGAGAGGACTATGGAGTTTAGTATCATACCCTGGAGTTTAGGAAATACTGAAGTTTAATATCATGAAGAAGAAGAACATCTTTACTGACTGCCACCACTTTTTCTCAGGACCCATTAAATTTTCATATATATATACATATATATGTATATATATATGAAATATATATGTATTTCTTAGTTGCCTACATTCACCTCCATCTCCCTTATGATGAGGACAGATAAATTTCTAAATCTCATTGCATATTTAACATTCATTTCTCTATTATGTTGATGCCTTTTTGTACATCATACATTTTGTATTCATTTTTCTCCTGTTAATCTGCTGTCAGTTTATTTAATAGGCCCAATTACTGAGAGCCCTGAGAGAGTACAGTGAAACTCTTGCCTCTTAAACACATCCCATTCAAGCACAGCTATCTTACAAAATACCTATTCTAATAGCATATACTGTCATCTCCACTTTTCCACATGAGAAAACTGAGGTGGTCTAAGACAAGCAAAAATCACTTGTATTAAATGCCATAGCTGAAAAGTAAATAATCTAAGACTCAAATGAGGATCTATCTCCAAAACCCATATTCCCCTCAACTACATCCAGTCACTAAATATATCATAGTTACCCTGCTGAGCACTATGCCAGTTATTTATTCTGTGGATTAACCATAGTACCAAGTATTTAATATCAGTCCCTGCCAAATTCCTTAGCACATTCCACTCAGTTGGTTTGTCAGGGATCATCAACATTTTTTGCCTTTGTCTTTTGAGATGTGAATCTGACTATGCTCTCCAGGATGTCCTTAAATTCCTGGGCTCAAGTAATTCTCTCACTTCAGTCTTCCAAGTAGCTGGGACTACAAGCATGTACCCACCATACCTGGCTTGTCAACTTATTTATAATGTTATTGTTCAGGGGTTGTCAATTCCTATTTTTTAAAAATATTTGATCAAGACAAACAAACATGGGAAATGAAGTTCAGCAGGAAAGAAAGGCCTATGAGGTAGCTGGGGGATGATGTTTAGTGGTATGGTATTTACCTAGTATGTACAAGGCCCTGTGCTCAGCTCCTTGAAGGCGGAGTTTAAATGAGTTCACCAGACGCAAGATAAATGATAAATTGGTGCTTTACTGGGGGAAAAACTTACACAGATAAGAGTAAATAACTGCTGTGGCCTTCCTGCTCCAGAAGATGCAGTCCCTGTCCTTCTGATGTTCTCCGTGACCCAAGCTAGTGAGCCCCACAGCTCCTCTACCTTAAAAGGGTCATGTCTGCACCTGAAACCACACCCAAATGGTATGGCCACTACTACGAGTTTGACAACAAGGCAGGTTGCCCCTACAGTTCCTATTATTGCTGGTGTTGAGGATGGAATCCAAGGCATTATGCATGCTAGGCATGTGCTCTATTACGGAGCTACATCCATAGCCCTGTCATGTGGTTTTATGTTCTTTGTATCTTTCAATAAATGCTATGTAGCTCAGCCCCCAAAAGGTATTTCTTGAATAGTATTCACAGACATCACATGGACAAGTTCCCTTCTTTGGAATTCTAGGTATTCTAGCTTATTGTAGAAGACTTCACGCCCCATTCAGTTACTGAACAATTTTGGTGCCAACTGCATGGTTGGTACTATGCTAGAGTCTGGGAACAGAAAAATTGAAAAAATGTTAATCTTATCACTAAGAAGCTCAGTTTAGTGGCGAGAAAACCATATGAGACACTCAAAATATGACATGATATTTGATATCAGTAAGGTAGGTATGCTCAATGCTCAATGAAACCATGAAAGAAAATCTGGAGTAAGTTGTTAGGCCATACTAAAGAGAACATGTACATTGATTCTTGGAGGTTTTGCAGATAAGGGATACTTCTAGTGAAAAAAAAAAAAAGTATACTAAAGAGAACATGTACATTGATTCTTGGAGGTTTTGCAGGTAAGGGATACTTCTAGTGAAAAAAAAAACTAGTTTGGGCAGAGGTCTGATAAGGGATAGTGAATTTAGCACTGTGATAGCATGGCTTTTTTAAAGGGTAGCAAATAATAATGTTGAACTGGCAGATTATATGTCAACCAAGGAGACAGTACTTTGGTATCAGACAAGTAAGATAAGTGACTGACAAGGAAAGACCAGGGTCAAGGGGTAGGAAGGGTTATGTAGAACTTGACTATTCGTGTTTATCTCAAAGGGGGCAGTTCTAGCTGGGGTATACCCATATGGAAATGTGGATCCAATGCTAACAGGTCTTATGTTTTCTTTTATATATTTAGAAAACCAGGAAAGGTGCATTCTAAAAACGTGAAACCTCCAGATTTCTAAATGCTAGAACGGAATTTCCTTTTTCATTCCAAGTTTTAGCTAATATTATACCAAACACAACATATTTGTTTGCTGCATGTGGCCTACAGGTTTATCATTTTTATACCTGTGCTGTAGGGGACAGGGCACTATGAAAACAGAAGCAAACTGAAGCAGCACATCAAAACACAGACAACATATTATTAATAAAAGGGAACTTGTGGGTTGGGGTTGTAGCTAAGTGGTAGAATGCCTGCCTAGAGCATATGAGACTTCTAAGTTTAATCCACAGTACTTCATTAATATAATGATAATTATTATTATAGCCACGTCTATTTCTCACTGCTCTGGTTCACTGAGATATTTCTAAAGCATATGAAGCCATATTTTCTGCCTCTTGGGAATCAAAACAAGGTCCTAGGTCAAATGAAATTCTGAAGGCTTCTGAGGGTAATGGTGCAAACAGGGTCTTTCTTGTCATTAAAAGAAAGGCCACAGTTGGATTGCTCAGCCCATACTGTGTTTGCTGCTCTCCCTACAGTGCAAGTCTGATGACCTCACTTTGATTCTGGGAACTTATGTAAAGGTGGAGAGTGAAACATATTCTGCAGTTATTCTCAAACCTCCTCATGTGCTCAGTGGCATGTGAGACCACACACACACACACACACACACACACACACACACACACACACACACACACACACACACACACGCACGCACACATGCATGCACACACGCACTAATAGCGATAAATTTTAAAAATTTAGAAGTTGGTAGAACATGGAAGCTGAAACCAGTTAACATCCTTGAGAATCACCACTGCCACCATCACTACCACTGCCATCAGGAGATGGATGTCATTTATTCCCTTCTTATTTGGATGAAGATAAAGTAGCCTCTTTAAACTGTGTATGCTGTAAATTCAACATAGCCAGTGATGAGACAGATAGGGCACAATATAATAGCTGTTACAGTTTAAACTCTCCATTTTACAGTTGAAGAAACCTAACCTGTGTTTGCCCACTCCCTCCAAAAAGTACGTTGCTTTGCTCACAGTGACCCAACAAACTAGTGGCAGAGTGAGGCCTCCTGACTTCTGGTCTAGCATTCTTTCCAATAATCCTGGCTGTGATAATTAAGGTAAATCAGCCTGGCAGTTTTCCTAGCATCTAGAATTCCTGGTCTGGACAAGTAGATCTTGAGAGCTGCTGTTGCAAGTCTTTCTTTTCCTCCTTATCTGTGTGATGATGAGATTTTCTTTTTGCAAACTTTCTGTTTCATGGGTAAAGGTTAAAAAGAGGACAAAAAATGTTTGTGAAGCACTGAGACCATTCACAAGGCTATGAAAGCAAACTTGCCTGTGGCTGATATATTTAAAGCTTATGACCTCTGTGCTCTCTGCACCGACCTCTCTGCCATATGCTTTTGGTTTTGTTTTTCTTTTGTCTCCTTTTCTATATTCTTCTGTGTTTTTCTTCTCCCTTATCAGCCTAGGTCGTAAGCCTACCCTTAAGTGCTCTGGGGCATCACTGAGCCTCCTCAGTGGCTTTTACTATGCTTGCTTCAAGTCAATAAAATTGCTAATTATTAATTTCTCAATTGCATGGAAATGAGAGTGCCTACTGGCTAGAAAAGTGCATGCTTACTATGCTGCAGCTACTTAAGTCTCTAAAATCTGAGACTAGTAACGCTTGTCAATTTTGACTCTTGACAACTAATCTTTTCCATCCTTCATTTCCAGGTCTATTGTTCTGACATTTGCCATTTTTTTCTCTGACCCTGTTTCTGATTGGTGCAGCTGTTGAAGATGCTGCAGTTGCAGCATGTACATCTGGAACATTTGGCTGACTTGTTGAACTTCCCCCAGGGAGTACTCCAGGGGAAGCATGGGAAGGGTGGAGAGGCCAGAACAGTTGTCTGCAAGTAGAGATGACAATAGTGTCTGGCCATTTTGTGGACCACCCTTGTAAAAATTCACCTCTTTGTGACCCTCAGTTTACCCACCTGCTCTTGGAAGGCTCGTGATCTTTCAAAACTTCTGCAGCCCTGGAAGAAGATAAACTTTTGGCTGTGGGCTCACTCACACAACACTTTCAGCCTTGTGAAAAGGATTAATGCATATCTGTTGAATGAATTAATATGTCAAGAAATCCTAGGAAACTGTATTACCCTTCAAGGGATAGTATCACTTCAGTTCCACTAGGCACTTGGCACTAGGCTTTGACTGTGCCCCCAGACTCACTCTAGGAGTGAGACATCCTGATTCCCAGTCTGTTTGGCTCCCAGGCTCCTAGGTCTCCTTTTCTTCTGGGAGCCATTGAATTGCAAACACAGCAGGCATGGTTTCATTCCAAACCCTGAACTGTTTTAATTAGTTTAACGTCTGTTAAACGCTTTGAAGATTGAAAGCAACAGATAAGTACTGGATGATGTTATTAACAACTGCAGTTAATTGCAAACATTTCTATTAATGCTAGTTTCTGCCTCCTTTTCTTTACTCCACGTTCTTTCCAAGGTTCCCAAATTCTTCTCAGCCTCCCCCTCCTGCCCTCCCCCATAGCGGCGCTGCCGAAGGGTTAAACCGGGGTGGAGTCCAGAGATGAACGACAGCGGCAGTCACCAACTGCAACGGGGCAAGCGGGAAGAGCTGGGTGGGGCTGCCAGGCAGAGGTGAACCCCCACTCCCCCAGGCC